TTGAAGTAAAAATAGGCTGTGTGAACCTATTGAAATATATGTATGTTCATTGTATTTGAGGCAATATATTTTCAAGTATAAGTTGCTTTACAACTTAACCCTCTAGATAAAGCACTACTCCATTTTACTTAAAATTAACCAATAAAACCCAGTTAAAATAAAAAATATATGTAGCCTCCAAAGCACTCAGATGTGTAAATGAAATGATTTTATGGTCTTGGAGGCAAAGTCTGTTGAAGAAAAAATAGTTTATTGAATGTTTATTGTATTAATTTATTTAGTCTTCAGCTACATCATCTGTTGGGAGGATAATTCATTTCCAGAGTTTGTTACATGTGCGAATGATTCTCAACTTCCTCTATGTAGGTCAGACCTTCTTCCTGACCTTTAGGCTCATATACCCACCTGAATACTTAACATCTACCCACATGTGCTGCTGCCTCGTTTCCCCAGTGTAGTGGTTATCATGTTCGCCTCACACGTACCCACATGTGGATGTCCCAATGGGCAGACAATTCAAATTGAACTTCACATCCAAAATTAAATGGCTCACCACTCCATGCCGCCTCCAGTCTCCTGGCCTGGCTCCCTGTCCCCACACTCCCCAATCATACAACCTTACCTTTGCTGCTTTCTATTTCAGTACATGGCATCACCACCATCCACCAAGTTGCCCGAGTGGAAAATACAGGGTTAGTCTTTACTTTTCCATCTCTCTCATTTCCCACAAGCAACGATCACTTTTGCCGTTCAGCTGCCCCTTGAATTTGTCATGTCTCTCCATTCCCTTAAAAACCTTGTTTGAGGCCACCGTCATCTTCCAGTCAGATTACGGCAATAGGAATGGTCTTCATGCTTCCAATATTGCCTCCTCCAACCCAGTCTTGACATCATAGCCAGTGTAATTAGGGCAAATGAGGATGTTGCCCCTGAGCTTAAAATTCTTCCTCATCTTAAGGATAAATTCCCAACTCTTTTAGAAAGCTTACAAGGACCTTCAAAATTTAGCCATTGTTAAGCTCTTTAGTCTTTCATCCCTTTATCTTCCACCTTCAGCTCAGCTTTCGGACTTTTTAAAAATATTTATTTTGAGACAGAGTGTGATGGGGGAGGGGCAGAGGGAGAGGGAGACACAGAATCTGAAGCAGGCTCCAGGCTCTGAGTTGTCAGCACAGAGTCCAACACGGGGCTTGAACCCATGAATCATGAGATCATGGCCTGAGCCAAAGTCAGATGCTTAACTGACTGAGATATTCAGGGCCCCTCAGCTTTCAGACTTAATTGAACCATCTTGAGCATGACTCCAGAGCTCTAGCCTTAGGGACAAACAACTCCAGACAAAGGTATGGGATGAATACAGAATCTAAGTGGATATGATTTAAATGAATTGTGTCTAATCAGAGAGAATATGAAAAAGAAAATGCAAAATTTCAACAAGCCAGTAAAATATTGCTGAAGAGAGTCAAGTGCAACTTAGGACTTTTTTCTACTTACCAGACAAGAGAGCTGTTTAGGATGTAGTTCAAATCTGTTTTAATAAGCCAATCCTCTGGGGGCCTGGGTGGCTGGCTCAGTTGGTTAGTGTCCGACTCTTGGCTTTGGCTCAAGTCATGATCTCATGGTTTATGAGATCGAGCTCTGCATCAGGCTCTGCACGGAGAGCATGGCGCCTGCTTGGGATTCTCTCTCTCCCTCTCTCTGCCCCTCCCTCACTTGCTCGTGTGTGTGTTAGTGCACACTCTCTCTCAAAATAAATCAACTTAAAAAAAAAGCCAATCCTCTCTGAAGACGGTGGATTTGGAGAATCTTAAAGTTATGGGGACTGAAACTTCATTCTGCACACATCTCTGTGGTTCAGGTAGATTGTTCTCAGAAGTAAGAAGCCCAAAAACCTCAGTCATCGATTTTTGATCATTAAGCAAATGGCAAATTATCAATCCAGTAGTTTTGCTTACCTATGGTTTTAAAATCTACGTTTCTTTGTGTCTAAGTGTTTCTACAAGCCTAGCTAGGCTTAGAATTAAATGTGGATATTAGATGAAAGGCAAATATAAATATAGTATTTTTGTGTTACATTTATGTTTTGTAGATATTGGGACAATCTGTAGGTACTTGGCATGAGTGTATTTGTAATTTTTTTAAAAAAGAACATTGTAGAACATGACCAATTAGCCATGTAATTCCAAGTTAAACTACATAATTAATTTTGACTTGTAAAGTTGATTTTTTTCTAATGTTTATTCATCTTTGAGAGAGAGTGTGAACAGGGCAGGGGAAGAGGGAGGTGGAGAAAGAGGGTCTGAAGCAGGCTCTGCAAGGACAGCAGGGAGCCTGATGTGGGGCTTGAACTCATGAACCGTGAGATCAAGACCTCAACTGAAGTCAGATGCTCAACTGGCTGAACCACCCTGGTGCCCTTAGATTCGTAAAGTTGAAAAGCATAAGAGTATTAAAATTTTTTTTAATGTTTATTCATTTTTCAGAGACAGAGAGACAGAGTGAGAGTGGAGAGGGGCAGAGAGGGAGGGAGACATAGCATCTGAAGCAGGCTCCAGGCTTGGAGCTGACAACACAGAGCCTGATGCGTGGCTCGAACTCACACACCATGAGATCATGACCTGAGCTGAAGTTGGACGCTTAACCAACTGAGCCATCCAGGCGCCCCAAGCATAAGAATATTTTTACATTTGTAAATAATACTGAAATTTACACAAAAGTTTGATTACATTTCTAACGTATTCAGCTTAAAAGTGTTATTAAAATGCTTCTTATAGTGTGGCATTTGGGCCTTTGAAGTGCTTATAATCAAGTCTGTTAAATTTATGTATGGTATTGAACACTTTATTTTATTAGAATTTTTTTTTCTAACATATATTTTTGAGAGACAGAGCGTGAGTGAGGAAGGGGCAGAGAGAGAAGGAGATACAGAATCTGAAGCAGGCTCCAAGCTCTGAGCTGTCAGCACAGAGCCCAACTCAGGGCTCGAACCCATAAATTGTGAGATCATGACCTAAGCTGGAAGTCAGACTGAGCCACCCAGGTGCCCCTGGTGTTGAACACTTTAAAGAAACTATAATGCAATAGCTGCAGAAGACATCTGAACACTACCTAGAAGGATGGATCAATGTCAATAAATACGAGAGAATTCTAACTCCAAGGCCCTGATGTTGGAAGAATGCATAATATACTTGGAGAACAATGAGTTTCATTCACTTAGGCACAAGTGAGGAATAAAAGGAGAGAGTAATCTGGAACCATGGTCTATGGTGAAAACATAGATCTTGAGGGCTAGCTTGAAGCACCTGGGAGGTATTCAGTAGGCAGAGGGGACTCACTGGAAAGTTCTGAGAAGGAATCATAAGAGGGCTATCCTTTAGGAAGAATAATGTGGGTAGCAGGATTAAGAACAGATTGGTTGGGGAAGACTCAGAGAGGCAATGACTAAGATTTCAGAGGTAATCAAGGGGCTGAATGTAAAGAGGTAACAAATCTAAATTGACAGTGGAAAAGATGACTTATAACTTAAGGTTGAGCTGCTGAGTATGCCTACTTGATAATTAGGGACAAATTCTTCCCAACCTTGAGTGCTTCCTATTCCAGAGTGTCTGACCAGGGCCAACTGAGGTCAAAAGTCTATCCAGGAACAAATCCTTGGGTCAACAAGCATTGAAATGCCCGTTCTCTCCACCTTAGGATATTTTCCTAACTATGAAAAGTTATTATCTACAGCTTTTCTCCTTAAAATCCTAGAAACGGTAGCTGTTTGGGGCAAAAGAGCAAAAAAGCCTTCACACAAATTTTAGGTTCTTAGCCTTTCTCTAGAGTTTCACGTGTTCTACTCTTAGTGACCACCTGTTAAAGGGCAAAGAGTTCAAAACCCATCAAATGAGCAAGGACTGGGCTTGCATGTGAACAGCCACTCCATACAGATGTCTGAGTCGGGGTCCAGCAAAGAGACAATCACAATAAATCAGATGCCATCACAGTGTTATGTAAAATGAAAAAAAAAAAAGTTTATTTCTTACCTCTATTGAGTTTTAAAAATTAATGTTTCAATGTAGACCCTAGTTTACTATAAGCAAAAAAAAAAAAAAAGCCTAATAGTGAAGTATTACACTTACCTTGGGGATGTATAGCTAATTTTAATAGCATACTTAGGGCCAATTTTTCAAACCTACTTCACAAATTTTTAACCCAGGGGCACCTGGGTGGCTAAGTTGGTTAAGCGTTCGACTTCAGCTCAGGTCATGATCTCATGGTCCATAAGTTCAAGCCTTGCATCAGGCTCTGTGCTGACAGCTCAAAGCCTGGAGCCTGCTTCACGTTCTGCGTCTCCCTCTCTGTCTGCCCCTTCCTCACTCATGCTGTCCCTCTCACTCTCAAAAGTAAATGAACATTAAAAAAAATTAAAGAATCTTTTTAGTCCCAATCGTCTTGTATATATCTTCTGTCTAGGATATTGATACACAAATTCCTTGTCAACTTTCCTATCACACCTTTGCCCTTATCTCAGAGTCGAGGGAGGCTAAGTTATAATTTGTAACCACTGTTGAAAAAGTGATAAATATATTCCAATTCCTTTTTTGGCCAAAATATGCTCCCAACCTCTCTTTGCTTATAATACATAAAATAGTAAGCATAATGAGGAAGTTTGTTTATTTTCTGTATTATAAACTCTAAAGGGACTAGCTTTTATTTTTACACAATATAATGTCAATAAAAACATCAACATCAAATATCCTCAGATATTAAAAAAACAGCAAGTCTTAAAAATATACTGTAAGTTGCTGTTTAAAGCAGTAATTCTTCGACAGATATTTCAAATAAAAATTACAAATCACAAGACCTTACATACAAAAATTTTTGAATTAGGTGCAGCTGGAATAATAAACAATTAGAAGGGCTACCTTATTCTTGCTTTACAGGGGAGAACTCAGTGAGATTTTAATTTAAAAATACCGAGCACTGTCTCAATACAATAGAACTGGAAGAAACTAAAGTTGGGGATTTCCCAATTATTTTATTGAGGTAACTTTTCCCGATTTTATACATATATGCATTTATATATACTTAAGAAAGCTAAACAATGTTCTAAGGCACTTGGAATTGTGCACAGCAAAGTTTCCTATAATATTATACAACTAAATAGAGCATAATTTTGCTTTTTAAATAACACAAACACCAGTAAGGAATAAAAAAAGATAATACACAGTATGTCTTTCCGGTTGCAATAGTGGAATACATATACATATCTGTGGATACTTGGAGGTATTTCTACCCATATACTATAATACAGTACAGATCAAGAACAGCAACAAAAAGAGAAACTGTTGTGTTAATCAGTGTACAGTTCCAGTTATTTACACTCACAGATATTGTACCTGTGTAATATGTAGAATCAGATCACTCACTGGAAATCAGGAATCAGTCAGTCAGTCTGATAACGGTCACAGCTTACCATTCTTAACCACTTAAACCAAAGCTTGAAATAACAAAAGAATGCATACAGTTCTTTATTCAAAGATCACTATTACATAGAAAAAAAGGACAGGTTAGGTTTTTGCTAGGTACTAAATCTGGTAAAATTGGCGCAGAATGTTTGGAACACATTGGCACATTTCTAAGCCACAGAAGAAATCTTTAAAAAAGTAAAAATAAGAATTAGTGCCTATATTTTAAGTAATGAAAGTGGTTTGACCCTAGATTTATTCAGATTGTTTTCAAATGCTATATTGCAATGGTGACATCTCTTTCTGAAGGCTCTCTAAGCAATGCAATGATACAGTCAAACTATAATAAAAGCATCCAGTAAGGGAAAAGTCCCCTAAATTGGCAAGTGGCACAAATGTTATTGGCATTTTAATATACCATGAAATAGACCTGAGGGTGGAGTGGCATTCTGCCTCATTTACTCCCTTTAATTTATTCTTAAAAAGAAAAAAAAAATACTGGTATTTAACAAGATAAGAATTCTTAAGCACCATCTAAAAGTTCACAATATAACCAACTTTATCGACTCTGAGTTGCTCTGTCTCGAAAAAGATTATTTAGAAACTTTAATAATTAATAAAATTTTAGTGGCTAAATTATTCCATTCTATTAGCCACCATTCATGTGAATTATTTCAGGACATATTTACTATTCAGTTTTGGTGATAAAAAGTGACAAAGGACAAGTATGTTTATGTATTGTTCGCATAGTTTAATGTGTCACCTAGGTAAAATTCATCTTGTTTTGTGTATGACCATGACTGAAGTCGGAACGATATGCATGCAATCCAGTTAATCCACTCTTCCTTCATACTTCAGAAGTTTAGAAAAATTGAACTACATGACTATTTATACAGGGAGAATTCAATCATTTGCATGTAGATTAAAAGCTTCTTTAAGAGGGTAAATGGGTGGCTACTTTGTAACTCAAGGGATGTACCTTACCAGGTGAAATCTAATGGCGATTTTCATGGACCACAGGTTTTGTTGATGTGGATGATTAGTTGTGTGTTAAGCCGTACAATTCAATCCTCATGACACTGACAAAGATTGTGATCAACAGTGTAGTTCTGAAGTGAAACTGTGAGACCAAAACCGAGAAGAAACTTTGCTTCATCTGAAATTTCTCCTGAACAGAACAGAGGGACTAGCCAAGTGACTATGGGCCTCTGGCACGGCCAAGGCTGCCTGAAAACTTCCTCCCTGAAGAACTCGCAAACTAAAGCATCACTGGGGCAGAAGGCTTGAAAAATAAAGGGGAAGGAAACTCCTCGGGGCCCAAAGTAATGCAAGGCAGTCAGGACCATGTTTGGAAATAAGTACCCTCCCTGCGTGTCCTCAACCCCCACTAGACAGGGGTATTCAAGGGAGGTGGTACTGCCTTACGAGGGCATTTGAACACTGGGGAGGGCTTCTGGCTTTTGGTTTTACAGTGACTGGGCATTCCACTGGCATTTAGTTAACAGGGGCTTAGGATACTAAATGTCTTACAACGTGGGGTACATTTCTGTAAACAAAGAATTGCCCAGCTCCAAATGCCAAAGGCACCCCCCACCGAGAAACACTGACCAACAGTGCTTTGCTCATAGGCACACTTGTGTGAGCAACGCGACAAGCTGGATGGCATTTTTTGTGCGGTAAATCGTAGCATCACTAAAAATGACCCTCGTGGGTAGGGTTGGATTTTGGCGAGAATAGCTGCCACAGGATTCTTCTATTTTATTTTATTTTATTTTATGCCAGAAATCTTGCAGAATCTATATGGGATTTGTTGATTTAAAATGACCTGATGACCTATGCTTCCATTGTCTTCTAGAAATGTTAGCAGTGGTTTCCGTTTTCATATAAAGTTTAGGCTTAATTTTACCAAAAGTAAAAGGAGAGTGAAAATGAGAATGGTTTGGGAGTATTCTACCTTTGTCCCCACCACCCTTGGGTCACTGCCAAGCTCTTTGAAATCTGAATCTGAACTACCTAAAGATGAGTTTCCTCTCAGAAAAATGGTCCTATTAATCTGATGATGACTTTTGCCATTGCATTCCCCTCTAGGTCATATTTCATTTCCAGAAGTTCATTCCGATTTGCCAAGCAAAACAGTGTGACATATGCTGCCAATAAGAAGACAGAAAATGCTCAATAGTGGGGCAGAACCCATTTCAAGAGGCCAAGGGACAACTGTGCAAATAAACTGCATCTTCGTGGCTCCTTGCTGCTCACAACATACCCCAATGATATGAAGAAATCAATTCTTGTCACAAATTATATACTTTCACTAGTAAGGTTAGGGGTAATAATATGGCTGGAATTTAGGAATGCTTCAGCTACCTTACTGATGAAATGACATAAATGTATATATCTTCCATCTCACCTATTTTAAGGAAGACTTCTCACGGTGTTTAATGTGCTGCTGGGACCACTTAAAGAATAATAAAGAAGAAATTTTTTAGCCAGAAAGGAAGAAAAGAGCATTTTCACTCTTTAAATGTATATATACAACTATGTGGTAGGCAAGGCTGTCTTCTACTGTGAATGTGGTATCATTTTTGCAAGCTGTGTCTGTCTGACTACTGAGTATAAATACAATGCCTGCTATGTGTTAAAATGTGGTACATATCAGGATATGCAGCGTTAATGCGGATTGTTTTCTCTTTTAAGTGTAAGCTACTGTATTTTTTCAAAGTACCAATACAGACTGAATTAATGGTAGGGTGTGACACCCAAAATACGGGTTTTAAGAAATGATCTCTCATTGATAATATTTAGTGATTTTTCAAAGGTGTATTCAATTCCTTTACTGTCTTAAATAGATTTCCACTTACATTTCAGAACTTTCTAACAGAAATATATCTACCAATGTTAGAGGAAGAAAAATAATTACAATCATTATGGTAATAAAGGACATGAAAATGAAACCAGAAAGTCTGATTTTCTGGGTAAATCAGAGAGACGGATGAGTTTGCTTTTTCCTCCATTTAGAACAGCTATTCAGATACCCAAAATGGTTCTCTGAATATTATAGATTTAGTTTAAATAATTTAAGGAGTGAACATAAAGGTAAATTACATCAAACATAAAAAATGCAAGACATTTCACATACACAGGGAATTATTAGGCGGGGCTGCTTTAAATTAACGCTGATCACCAGAGGACTAATTTTGTCAGACCACGGAGACAAAGCCCAGGGCATCTTCTTACTACCTTAATGTTAATGTTCTTTTGCTCAATTTTTCAAAAGACAGAAATGGCCCCTTTGTGTTTTACAGTCTGTCTAGTTCTTTCCTGCCTGGGATCTTCCTGGATAGGAGTTTGTTTGCTTCCCTTATCATATCTTGGGGACTCAGAAAAACTCACTCACTTCCTCTATGTGAGCCTAATGTCTCATGTTAAGTAGGGAAAGGTCTGGTTTGTATTACAATAGCCCGATTCATGCACATATTTATTTTCTTCAGAGAAATGCAGCTTATTGGTTACATAGCAGAAATGCTGGCATTGGGCCTAGGGTGGTCCACAGACTTTGCATTCTTTTGGGGCTTCCAAAAAGACCCCTGATGGGCTACCAGGTGAATATGCAGTGTTTCCGCCTTCTCAAATTAGCTATTAACATAGAGCCTTATTCTGCAAGATACAGGTTAGCTCATATTCCTTCCATTTGTTTCCATAGCTTTTTATTTAAAGAATCATTCTCATGATATATAATTGGTGGTTCCAATTCTTAAATATTAGACTAGCGGTGGTAGTATTTTTGACTTTTTCATTTCTAACTTGTAAACTTTTCTCTAATTGTGTCAATTGGTATGAAGAAAAAATGTGGGTAGTTCATAAATCTGACATATCATACAAGCAAGACAGTATATTGAAGGACCAGAGTCGCATTTTTGAACTGGGTGCATCTCATTGGAGGCAATAAAAAACTGCATCATAGGCACCATGAACGGGGAAAAAATTGCTCCTTTTATCAACCAAACAGAGACTTGTCATGACCTGTATCTCAAGTGCTAAAATGGTGATAAATGTCTTGTATTTAGCATTTTATAGAGGCCTTGTAACTAGAAATTAAGACTATTTAAAGGTTAGAAAATTAAAACAACATTACATTCCTTGGACTTTTTCCCAAGACACAAAAGTGATTATCTCATAATATTATAAGGACAAAGATGACTTTGGTTAAGAATCAGAATAAAGTTAATGTCCATGGCTGGATCGGGGCACTATGACATGGACAAACCTTTCAGCCAGAGTAAGACACTTAGGCATGCAGAAAAGTTTTTTCAAAAGCAAACGTCCATCTTGTACATAAAATGACAGCAGCAAAGAATCTGAGTTTATTAATGCACATAGCTGAGTGCAGCAATATGTGCAACTTCTTTTCTTGGTTATAATATGGTCCTAGTTTTTTGTAATAGGCCAACTGGGGCTAAAAGTTTTGATTTTCAAGAAAAAACATTCCATTTCAAGTGGTTCTTTAAAATATAAATGAATGACAAGATCCAAACTTATCCACCAGATTAAATGTTTGCTATTTTGGTTAAAATTGCAAATTACAGTCTTCCATATTATGAATCAGAAACATTTCAAAAAATTCTAGCCCGAGCTCTGAGAATAAAATAAAGTCCACTATGTCTTGTCTTGTTACTATATGTCTCGTGTGTTTTTAATACAAGGAGCACAAGACAATCACGAAAGAACAACTAAACGCAAGGGAGTATTTACATCTGATCATATAGACTTAGGAGCAGAAGCCATGATGTGCCCGTGACTCCATGAAAAATAGCAAGCTGGCAATTGAGGCTGTCTTAATGTAAACAGTACTGAGTGTAGGCTCACAGAGAAAACTTCCATGACTTTAATCCCACTGATCCTTTTGCATTGGAAGTCGATGCTACATTTATGGATATAATCTGCAGACTCTTAAAATCTAAGACAAGGTCCTCCTCACTTGCCACTTAGCAGAAATTTTCGGTGTTCTGTTAAGCCTTTGGGTGAGTACTTTTTTTTTTTTTAATCCATGTACTTAATATTTTTAATAGCAGCAATCCAACTTAATGCAGCCTTGAAAATGAGTCCTTTCTGCGCCCACTCAGAGCTAACTGCTGGCAGAACACTTGGATTTGCTTAAGTTTTAACTTTGGACTCATTTTTTTTTTTAAAGAAGGTGGTGTGACTGTCAATATTATCCTCCTTAGATCAAGCAAGGTTGCTTTGACTTTGAAGATAATCAAGCTAGGGAAAGACCCAAAGATTTATTTCTAGAGCTTCCTACAGATTTATAGGGTCACATTCATCTGACTTTATTCCCATTTCTGTTATCCTTGTAGAAGTTTGGTATATTAGATTAGGAGTAAAAAACGAAAAAGTGTGTATAGCTATGTTACTTGAAACATGCAACAAAATTTGGGCACTCATGCTTGTTAAGAGTCAATAAACATCTCTTGCATTTAAGAAAAAGATGCATGAAAACACTCGGACTTATTTCTGGCAATTGGATTCACTGGCAAAACATAAAATAACGGTACTGTACTGCACCAACATAACGGTGAAATGAGAATATTCTTCTAGGATCAGGTCTTTAAGGAATCCACATTGGGTGATTAGATTCCCAAATCTCTCAATAAGTTCTCAGCTACCAAAAGCCTACTTCAAAAATATTTATGCCTTGATTTTTTTCTTTTCTTCATTAACATAATGAAATATTTCTCTTTTTTTCTGATTTTCAACCCCTACCCCTTTCCAGTGCCCAGCAATTCCAGTCCCCATTTCTCTTTAATCTGCACTCTACAATTTGGCTTTCTGGTAACAGGGAGCCAGTGATTGTCTTCTGCTCATCTTCTTTGATTAAAACTCCTGATGGAGAATAACTGGTGTAACTGTGGTGTTGCTTACCATCAGTACACACGTTGGACAGCAAAGTCACTGCACCTGTCCCCTTGCTTACTGGCCCCATCTTGGCTGTACAGGTGGGGAGCAGTTTCCATACACTTCCTTCCCCAGTTAAAAGGAAACACACACATTCAAATCCCAGTGCAATATCAGGTTTTCAGGAAGAGAGGCTTCCCCCAAAGATGATCAGTCTATGTTTCCAGAGTCTCACACTTCGTTATGGACGGTGAAACCTGACAGAAGAAACAGAAACTCTGTGAGTCTGTGGTATAGAAATACACTCTACAGTTAGTAAACCAAATAAGGTACAGTAATGTTTATAATTAAAGGCAGCTCTAGACATCTCCCAACGGAATTACTGCTGGCATAACAGAACACTGTTACAGATGTTAGGCTGGAAAGCAGAGATAGCCCCTCTATAAAATACTCTGGTTATATCAACAAGGATACAGAGCAATCAATACACAAAATAAGGCAAATCTTGAGCGTCATTCTGTGATCTGTACTGAGCTGAGTGGGCTGTTTCATACAGGATTTGGTTACACCTGGGATGTAGTTATACAAGGAAACCATCAACAAATAATCACTGTTTCATTATCTTCAGCATCTCATCGCTTCCCATTGAAGAGGCTAAATCTACTTTCTTCACCTGAATTCCCAAATACCTGCCAGGCATTTCCAACTAAATGTTCCACTAAACATGTCCACAACTATATAAATGGTCTTTTCTTATAAATCTGCCTTGGCACCTTGAATATTGTTAAAAAATCTACCTTTTAAAAGATTTTTAGTTTAGGACCCTCAGATTTGCAACTCATTTCTCTTCTTCACCCTCCATACCCAATCTTGCCTTGATTGACCATCTTTGAGTCATTACCATGTTCCCATCTTTTGCTAGTGCTATTTTAATGGCATGCTAGCTAGACAGTTGGTTTCACTTCCCTCCATGTGAATTCCCGAACCTTCCTTGCATTTTTGGAGCCCTGTGTTTTTGTGCACATGCTGTGTTGCCTAGTATTGCCATCCCCTTCCTTCATTTCCCATCTATGTTTTCATATCAAGATCACAGTCAAAAGCCTTCTTCTCTATAACATTTCATCTGATCTACCTCTCAGCCCATATTTCTGTGGTTCCACACAGAAAATTTATGCAACTCTATTTAGTATTTCATTTGTCTTTTATAATCTAATGTTCACTGGTCCTTATAAATCAGTCTTCTAATTCATTTCCCTGCCTCAGGCTCAGATTTGTGGAGGTCAAATCTGTGCCCCACATTGTCACTCGCAATATCATCATAAACACTAATCTGATCTTTCCAGTTCTTTGTTAACATCATTGTACTGTTCAGCTTTCCCTATGAAATAAAATTCAAATTTCTTAAGAGTAGTGATTGAGGCCTTTCAGGATGTGCCCCAACCCATGCTTCTAACTATATCTCTATTACTACTTCCAAAAACCTTCACTTCCAGGGGGTGCTTGGGTGGCTCAGTTGGTTGAGCGCCTGACTTTGGCTCAGGTCATGATCTCACAGTTCCTGAGTTCAAGCCCTGTGTTAGGCTTGCTGCTGTCAGTGGAGAGCCCACTTCAGATCCTCTTTCCCCCTTTCTCTGCCCCTCACCTGCTCTCTCTCAAAGAAAAAAAAAAAACAAAAAACCCAAAAAAACCCCTTATGCCCACAAATGCTCTCTACTTTTGTGTTCTACCTTTTGTCCTATCTTCCTTCCCATCTCTGTCTCCTGCAATCCCACTCTGTGGGTTCTCCAAACTCCCTTTCCTCCACTTCTCATGGAAGCATTAATCGCTTTCTCTTTTGTGTTCCCAAAACACTTGGTTTATACCAGTTACTCATCAGGGTTTATGATCTTTATGTAAGTGTTCCTCCATTAAGATCATGTGGCACTGAGGAAAGATTTGCTTTTAATCACTTTTAATCATGGAGTGCAACATCTGGCACACTAATCAACTTAAAATATGTTGCCATGTAAAATCAAAGCATGAAAAAATGAAAAATCAAAGACATAAGAACAGTTGAAACAAGATTGGCTCTAAGTTGATAACTGGGAAAGCTGCATGATGGATGCATAGGGCTTCTTATATTATTACTTTTGCATGTTTGACTTTCCAACCTCAAAATAAAAATAAGATATACCAAGCTTTCCAACGTTAACAAACTTGTTGTGACCCAAGTAGGGATGTGTTCACTTTGAGTTCAATTCCTGATGCCAGCTGTGGCCATAACCTCGGAGAAGTACATGAACTTCCAGGCTCTACATTTGTTTTTTTGTTTTAAAATTTTTTTTATAGTTTATTTATTTTTGAGACAGAGACAGAGCATGAGTGGGGGAGGGGCAGAGAGAGAGGGAGACACAGAATCCGAAACAGGCTCCAGGCTCTGAGCTGTCAGCACAGAGCCCAATGTGGGGCTCAAACCCACAAACCGTGAGATCTGACCTGAGCCAAAGTTGGACGCCTAACCAGCTGAGCCACCCAGGCGCCCCCAGGCTCTACATTTGTTAAATGGAGATAACGTTCCTGTTTCAGTCGCCTGGGTGTCGTTTTGGCCCTCTGATCATGCAAAATCCTTACCCAACTGAGGCCCTTTGCACTAGCTACTCCTTGGAAATCAGCTGGTTCCCTTTGGAAGTGGAATGGTTTTCTCTCCCCCCACAGGGCTGATAGCTCCCTCTTGTCGCTTAAACGACAGAATACGTTTTATCCCCTAAGAGACCCCTTTCTTTGCCATCCTATCTATATACCCACTTTTGTCCCTTCAACAGCATCCTGTTACATTCTCTTTTGTTTAAAAATATTATTTATTTATTTTTGAGAGAGAGTGAGGGAGCAGGGGAGGAGCAGAAAGTGAGGAGGAGAGAGAGAATCCCAAGCAGGCTCTGTGGCATTAGTGCAGACCTCTACACAATGCTCCAACTCACAAACCATGAGATAATGACTTGAGCCAAAATCAAGAGTCGGATGCTTTAACCAACTGAGTCACCCAGTACCCTTACATTTTCTTGATAGTACTTAGCACAAGCTGAAATTATCATTTTTATTTATTTGTTTACTTGTTGGTCTCCCTCAGTAGAACATAACCATGTGAGAGTAAGGACTTTTTTTGACATGTTCTAAATTCCCAGAGTCCAGAACAGAGTCTGACTCACTCTATGTGCTCAATCAATATTTATGGAATGCATAAAAAACTGAATACATCTATACTGGCACTTAAAAAGTTATTTGATAAACTTTATACAAATAATTCTTATAAATGAAGAGTCTAATTATAAGCCCCTCCCTTAATTAACGACAATTACATTTATATTTATCTACGATACCCAGTAGAGTAGGACATTCCATCATGATTTCTAGGAACAGTCAACCATAACATGATGAAAAACACAGAAATTCTATGAAAGCACTTCAAAAGAGTAATTAAAAGCCTCTTAAACCAACCTATTTACATAAACCATAAAAGAGGCAGATAATAACAGCTGAAAGTACTAATGTTTACTTTGTGTCCAGCACAAGTCCAAGTGCTCTACATATATTACCTAGCTTAATCTTCAAAACAATCCTGTGAGGTATGTAATTCTGTATCCCCTCTGTACAGATGTGGAAACAGACAAAGGGATGCTAAGTCATGTGCCCAAGGCACAGAGCTGGTCAGTGGAGGCTCCAGGCTTCAGACTCTCTTCTTAACCTACACCAGACTGTGAGAACAAAACACGCCTTCACTCATACTTTCACTAGAAGGGTTTTCTTGGTGCCCTCTGGGTACAATGTAACAGAGAAGGCAATCAGTTACACTTCCACATCTCTCTGTTAGTTCTGATCAGTTTTGACCACAGAAAAATCCTGTTCCACATCCCAGGCTCCACTTTGATTGTACACTGTTCTCCCAAAAACAGCTGCCTTTTGCTACAAAGGGAACTCGATGGCAATGGGCTCAGCACAAACTTTTTGCAATGACTAGAAAAGTGAGTCCAGTGATGTCCTCAGGGTTGAAACGAGCAGTGCCACCTCCCTCCTTGCAGGACACACAAGCGTTGTCCTTACCACACCAGAGGAGCACGAGTCCTGCGGGCCGTGACAATACACATAGACTGTGCCTGTAGGCCCTTCACCCCATGAGCCATCAAAGTTCAGCTTTTCTAGGAATTAAATACAAACTCATCTAAGGGAGCAATTCTTTTAGCCCTCTCCTAATTTGCTGGGCTTTGTACACCAGACATTCCGCAATGCTTTGATTTTCATTTGCTCCTGGGTTTAAAGGACAAGCATGGGGAAAGGGGACGTGACAGGTTAGTCTTCCCACTGGTAATGTCTGTGAGATGAAGAGAGTGAATTAATAACTGATGGCACAACAAAATGAGTTGTCATTGGACCAGAAGAGTTGTACAATCTTCTGAAGACCAGCATTTTCCTGGAAAGCATTCTATTTTTAATTTCGAAAAATTAGCAGGACATCATAAAGTTGTCTTCTTTTTGTTTTCCTGCAGGCACTATTTGCCTGCTCCACGTCTGGACTGCGTGCAAGGTCACAGGCCATCAGCACAGCTTCCAGGGTCAGCTAAGAGAAGAAGGTGACCAAGCAATAGTGTGAAGGCAACAATATGCTAACAAAGCCAGGGGTCAGAACCGTACCCTCTCCAGGGCGCCTGGGGGGGCTCAGTCAGTTAAGCATCCGACTTCGGCTCAGGTCATGGTCTCACGGTGTATGGGTTGGAGCCCTGCATCGGGCTCTGTGCTAACAGCTCAGAGCCTGGAGCCTGCTTTGGATTCTGTGTCTCGTTCTCTCTCTGCCTCTGCCCTACTCATTCTCTCTCTCTCTCTCTCTCTCTCTCTCTCTGAAAAACAAATAAAACAAAACAAAAAGAATGTACTCTCTCCATATGGGCTGCCAGATCTGGTAAAAAACAAAACAAACCCCAAAAACTAAAAAAAAAATCTCATATTTTCTTACACTATCCAATCAAAGAAGGACATTTATATCCTGGTTAAAGTAGGCACCTTTTCTTCCAATTCAGCTCCAAAATTTTATGGTTAGAGGTACTGAAAATGTAAATTGTTCTTACGTTTGTTACTACTAGATGGTTTGCATTCACTTTAACGCAGGAGAAGTTCGGCTTCACCTTCTGAGAAGTCTGCCTCTCTGACGGTATGACAGTTTGGCTTTAGGCTTCCCACTGATGGAGCAATAAATAGATGTATTGTGCTCGAAGGATACCGAAACTTC